CTGCAGTCCCCCGGTAGCTCCACACCCTTCACACCTTTCAGCTTTACTGGTAAGTCACTGTCTTTTCCTTCCCACCTAGAGCTCTAAGATGGCATTTGCATCTTCTGGGGGAGAAAAGGGGTTGCTTTTTGTTCCTGTTTTTCTCCTGCAGCTAATGAACCAGAACAAGGGCTCCTGCAGGGAAGAGGGGAGTTTAACAGGTGGGGTGTAGCTCTCCTCTGGCTCAGCCCTGCACTCCTCGCGCTTTTCCTTTACTCAGGCCAAACTTTCACTCAGAGGTCAAGTGGAGTCAAGAAGAAGTCTAAAGAAGTTTTGCCTGGGATTTAAGGAGGAGGCTCCATAGCAGTAAAGTAAGTTCAAGGTAATAGCAAGATCAGTTAAGGAATTAATTTTTAACAAGTGTTTAAAATACAATGAGAGTGGTGATAGATGTGTCTGAAAGTATGACACTGGGAGCATGAAGAAAGGTATTTTTCAAATCCTCGTTGAAACAAGTTTACAAAATGAACTGTGAAACTTCTATTGTGATTTATTAAACACTCACCAATGTGTTTCATATACATGTACATGGCCAAATGCCATTAAGTTTCACTGGAAATTATAGTAGCTCATTCTGTGCCCGCACATATGCCAGTTTGTCTGGAAGTACATGGTCACGCTGCAGACTTTCTGCAGGATGACTGCTTTTGTCTCATTTAAGTTAGCAAAGTTAAGAACCTGGTAGTGGTGGAGATTCCTGATTGTTTGGTGTAAAAACAAAGTAAATATTGCAAGTTGTTTTCACAGCTTTTTTTTTTTTTTTTTGTCATACTGCTTTATAAAGTAGATATAATTTTGAAGAAAAAATCTAAATCCTGAGTGTTTAGACTGTCACAAGAAATTACAGGAAATGTGGCCTGAATTTAAGAAATTGTATTCTGACAAGGATATCTGTTAAGTTTCTAAATATTTGTTATGGGACATCTTTTGGATATACCAGTATAATGAAATCATAAATACATCAAGTGTCATAATCTGGTAATGTATGTAGTTCAGCCGTGTACTTATTTGTGTTCATATGTGTATACAAATACATAAATACGTGCATGTTGAGTAAATTTATAAATAACAAAATTTTGCACACCTAGTACACATAGTGATGAACCTCTTCAGTGACATCATCAGAAATAAAAATAACTGGAAAGTTTGGCAATGTCACATTATAATTATTCTTCTCCTGCAGAGGGATAGATATGATATTGCAGCTTCTAAAATTTAGTCTTGCTTTCTTGTTCTCTTTGTTATGTGCAAAGTGTGTGTGTGCATGTACTAAACTAGTAATTAATAACACAACACTGATTCTTAAATGCCATGCCAATTTTTATGAGTGTCCATTTTTCAGTGTGGTCTCAAAGGAATGATTTTCTAATACAAGAAATACAATACAACAAAATACACCAAATAATACAAGACTCCCAGTTCTTATTAAATGATATGAAGGTTCATGAAGTCCTTGCTTTTCAGCTTTTCATACTGTTGAATTAGATTGTTTTCTGAGACAGATTCTCTGTCATTCCCTTGTGGGTATTCATGGACATAATGAAATGCAGATAAAGATGTTTCATTTCGTAATCTGCATTTTTTTCCAAGCACAAAAAGAAAAAATGTCTCCTTTCACAATCCTTTTTGGAAGATTAGGTCTTAAGAGTTGCCTGTCTCTGTAGCACTGAAAGTAATTCTATACAGTTGAATTTTATAGAATACTACAAAAGCAAGCTTGGGATATTCTCAGCTGAAATAGTGAGTTGTGGCTGTTTAAATTTAGACATAGGTATTCTTGAACTCACTAGGGGAAAATCAAATATTCTCTGAGCATTGTGAACTTTCTGTTTTCATTTAATGTGATTTAATAATGATTTGTAGCAAGCCACCCCTTTGCAGTTGTTGGTGTGATTTTTGGATGAGTTACACTGGCCTTAAGAATTGCTTACTGAAGAATGTATTGACAGTGAAGAAAGACACAGGACCTGGATTTCTGGGAACTCTCCAGCCAGTGGAGATATGTAACTTTGCATTGCCCTTGGAAAAAATGTCCTTCCAGTATTTATGTACTATGGACAAGACACATTTGTGGTGAAGGCAGCAGTTGCTGCAGTTCATACTAGGATGTACACTGAGATTTTTCACCTCTGTGCAGCTGAGATGCTGTGAAGTATCTGCTCATGGTTTAAACACTTTGTCTTGGTGTGCAGGATGAATTTGCACTCTAATACACAGAAATAAATATTATAGCTAATGTAAGCACTAAAATAGTTTTTTTTTTTTTTATGTGTATCCTCTGAGAAGTGCATTGTGTCATGTCTTTGGTGTCCTGAATTAACTCAGCCTGGGCATTGCTGACCTGTAGTAAAAAGAAAAAAAATCTTGAGTAGTGTTAGTGATTGGAGAATGATTAAGTTAGATGGATTTATTATTTGTCATTTTAATTTCTAAAAATTGTTAGTGTTCTTCTGTTAATCACTAGATAAATTCTCAGAAAAGCACAAAACATCCTGTTTTCATTGTAGACATCATTGCCTGCTCAGTACCTGAGCTGCCTATTTTGTTTTATCTGGATGGAAAATAAAGTGAGGCAGAGTGTGTTGAACTGAGAGGCACAGAATAATGCAAAGTTTAGCAGAGAAAGGAAATATTGAACTTGGGTTTATGCTAATCTTCTTTAATCCATCAAATATCACATTATTTATTTTGCTTTTCCTACATTTTCCCACTCATAATGAGAACATGCCTGAACAACAGTTTAGTTCGATTCAAAGCTGGAACTAAGCTGGGTATATCTTCAAATGATTTTGAGTAAAAAAAAGTATAAAATTAATTCATTACTGCCGTAAAAATTATTATTTGTCAAAATTAAAATTACTTAACCATCCAAAATATTTTAAACCGTACAACATTAAGATGGATGGTTAAATTTTAAAGTAAAATAAACATATTAAATTAAGACTATGAAAATACTATAACAAAATTTATTCAGCTTTGGGCTACTGTTTTAAGAGGAGAAAAAATACACTCTTCAAAAAGAATCTGAATTTTTTTAAAAAAAACATTTCAGGACAGGAAACGTACACAAAATCAGTATTTTGTAGTTAGTATAGTTTCTGGTTTATCATGTTATATTGGAAAAAGAATTCACTTATATTAAAGGGAATGCATTTTTGAAGAATGTCAAAGATGTATTTTTAGGGGGAGTTTTTATTAAATTAACTTAGTGTGATGAAAAATGAGTTAGTATACCAGGATTTATAGAACTGCAAAATACTAATGGGTGTGTTGTTGCTTTTTATGTGAAAGCATACTGCTCTACAGTTATAGGTATTTCATTGCCTCACAGTAAAATCAATTTAATTAATTAAATAAATTTAATTTCTTTCATTGCCTAACTAAAAGCCTGAAAGAAGTTCAGGATAGACTTTGGAAGTACTTATTTTGGAAAACCAGTGTCATAATTGCGGGAAATTACATTAATATAATGATGAGAATAGTACACTTCTTCAGTGGTAAATTCCTAGCTGTAGCCATGAACAACTTTTTTTTCTCAGGAATTGTAAGACACCCAGGTGTTTGGATAAGAAGTATAAGCATAGTAAGATGTGATTAAGTTATATAAAAATATTCTAAGATTTTTAAACAAGAAGATAATTACTTTTCTGATAGCGGTTTTTACTCTATGCAAATTGTTAAATCTGAATTACAGTTATATACAAGTATTTCTGAAGGTATTGAAGTTAGCTGAAAGCAAATTTTTTAATTTTGTTTTTAGTTGAAGGTTGACATATAAAATATAGTTGTGAGTTTATTTGGGGAATGAATTGTACTTATATATATTCCAGTTAGGAACAGGCCAAGGATAAGAGAAGTGATACCAGGAGTTTTCTCTTGTTTCTCAATTGGAGGAAGCTTGTGAGGAATCTGATATTTAAAAAAATCTCACACTTTAAGCCTTTCCAAATCAGCAATTGTGTCTCTGCCTAGAATTGGACTTGGGAGGCCCATCATGCATGAATTGGTGGAAACTGCTGAGAATATATGCCAGTTGTTTGTCACAGAAATAAGATCATAGGATGTAATTCTGTTTTTTTCCAAGAAAATATCTGTATTATAGTTGCTGAAGTGACCTTGAGTTTGTTGTTTTGGTTTTTTTGTTTGGTTTGGTTTGGTTTTAATGACGATGCAGTAGTTATGGTTCAGTAACACGAACTGCCAGGACAGTAGGGGAAATAGCACAGAAACGTTTTCACCATTCCTTGTGCAGAATTTGTCATTCTTCCCAATATTTCAAGTTATTAAAATGTCTGGTTTTTTTATAAATAAACAAATTTAAATATGATTAGTCTTTGAGAACATGCTTGTTGAGTTGTACAAATTCCAAAATTCAACTGTAAATTCCATTGGTTTTGAGTAATTGTTTTTCTGTGTTTGTACAGTTTGAAAATAGTAGAGGCCCATTACTAACTTTCTGATTGCTGGAGTAAATAAGTTCTGATAGCAATAAAATTATTAGAGTTAGGCAAACTTTGCATCACACTCAGGATACCAGTGCAGTTGCATTAATAGTAGCCTTATTCTGTTTAATTGATCTGGTTTCTACCGGTTCTTTTCTAAATAAAAGCAGGAACAGATAGAGCCATCTCAGACAGAGGAAACAGAAATAATGTTATTTTAAATATTTAAGTCTTGTAGAAATTCTGACTTACAAATCCTTCTTGCCAGTTGTGTATAGGCCTGTATGGGCTCTGTGAGATCATTTTAAACATCTCCCTTCTGTGCTTACCAAAGCCTGTGGTTGTGTGCTCTCAGGGTTATCTAATTCTTAATAAATGTGCGCAATATTCTGCAAAAGCAAGATAAGAAATATCATTTGTCGATCAATCTGTTCTGCCCCAGCGCTGTGCAATTCCAAGATGTTTTACCATTGCTCTAATTGCTCTGATGTTCTTGTTGTAGGTTAGAAATCTGAAGCAATGGGTGACTGGAGCTTTCTGGGGAGACTGTTAGAGAATGCGCAGGAGCACTCCACGGTTATTGGCAAGGTTTGGCTGACGGTACTGTTTATCTTCAGGATCCTGGTGCTGGGGGCTGCTGCTGAGGAGGTCTGGGGAGACGAGCAGTCGGACTTTACATGCAACACTCAGCAACCTGGTTGCGAAAATGTTTGCTATGACAAAGCCTTCCCCATTTCTCACATCCGCTTCTGGGTGCTGCAGATCATTTTTGTCTCCACTCCAACCCTCATCTACCTGGGCCATGTCCTGCACATTGTACGCATGGAGGAGAAGAGGAAAGAGAAGGAGGAGCTGAAAAAGAAGGGGAGCAGCAAAGATGGCAACTACCCAGTAGCAGCAGCAGCATCTGGCAGCGGTGGTGGAGGAGGCAGCAATAACGTCAAAGATCAACCTATTGTCAAAAGGGGGAAGGAGAAGCTCCCAATCCGTGATGAACGTGGTAGAATTCGTATGGGAGGTGCCTTGCTCCGTACTTACGTCTTCAATATCATATTCAAGACACTGTTTGAGGTGGGCTTCATTGTGGGCCAGTACTTCCTATATGGCTTCGAGCTAAAGCCGGTTTACCAGTGCAGCCGCTCACCTTGTCCACACACTGTGGACTGCTTCATCTCGAGGCCCACTGAGAAGACAATCTTCATCATCTTCATGTTGGTGGTGGCCTCAGTCTCCCTGCTGCTGAACATGCTTGAGATATATCACCTGGGGTGGAAGAAGCTCAAGCAGGGCATGACGAGTCAGTACATCCTAGAGATGCCTGTCGCAACAATGACACCAGTTATGGTAACAGGGGAGTCCAAACCTGTTTCCCTGCCGCCGCCAGCACCACCTGTGGTGGTCACAACTGCCACGCCGGCCCCTGTTCTGCCTGACACCCGTGCTGTCACACCACTGCTGGCCCCAGTGACCATGGCATCGTACTATGCTACAGCTGCTCCAAGACCGCGGCCCTCCTCCAACACGACATCCATGGCAAGCTACCCCGCTGCTCCACAAGTTCCTGAGGAGAGGCACCGCGCTGTGACTCCCACGCCCATCTCCACTCCCGTCACCATCCCGACCCCCATCCCCACGCCCACGCCGGCTGTCATCAACTACTTCAACAGCAGCAGCCGTGCCCTGACATCTGAGCAGAACTGGGTCAACATGGCAGCTGAGCAGCAGGCGAAGGTTTCCTCCAGCTCAGCAGGCTCCTCTACCCCTAGCAGCGTCCGGCATCCCCTTCCTGAGCAGGAAGAGCCACTGGAGCAGCTGCTCCCACCCCCGGCCGTGCTGCCCATTGCCGCAGCCAACAGCGGCAGCAGCACCAGCCTGAGCGGGGCGAGCGGCAGCAAGTGGGATGTGGAGGGCGAGGTGGAGCTGTCGGGGGCACGGCCCGTGTCGGCCGCCTGCACCACGGTGGAGATGCACGAGCCGCCGCTGCTCGTAGACACGCGGCGCCTGAGCAGGGCCAGTAAGTCGAGCAGCTGCAGAGCCCGGTCAGACGACCTGGCCGTGTGAGGCGGTCGCCCTGCTCGGGGAGCGGGTGCTGGAAGGCGGAGTGGGCAGGGGAGCTGCCTGGGGAGGCCAGGCCTGGCGTGGGTGAGGAGGCCTGGGCTTCAAACTTAGACGCTTGCTGTTTTTGCACTCTGTGAGTTGTAGTGGGGAAAATTATCAACATTTTCTAATAGGTCAGGGGTGACCGAAGCGCAGCCCGTGGGCCAGGGGCCAGTCCCGCTTTCCTTCATGTTCACAGCAGATCCCTCAAGGGCAGCTGTAGGGGAGGCCTGCACAGATTACAGGTGGTGATGGTAGCTGGTCGTGTGCCTTGAGGCTGACTTCCATCTGAGAAAAATGTTAATATCCCTGGTGCCCGTGCACCTGGCTGTCATCTCCCTCCTGCCCTTGCCTTCACTTCAGCTCTTTCCCAGGAGCTCTCCATGAGCAGATGCAATGACTTTCTTTCTTCCTCTTAAATCTTACGTAGCCCTACGTAGGGTGGTATATTGCCTCTTGGCACCTGTTGTGTCTACGGACCAACTTGCCATACTAAAGGTAACTCAGTTTCTTCCACATAGCGTGCCTTATGAAGCCTTTGTGCTCATGGCAAGTCACCAATGCGGTCCTCGGCCAGGCAAAGTTTAGGGAACCCCTGGAATAGATTTTTGAGGTTCTTCTTTCCATAATTTTTTTTTTTTTTACTCTTGACCTCTTAGGAAGTGTTCAGTTTGACCTTCTATCCAGTGTTTGCCAACCATGATCACACCATGTTTATAAGCCTGCAAATATGTTTGAGCATGTTTGACTATAATTTTAGCTGACTTCTAAAATTGCTTACAGGAGGACAGGAATTCAAACCACACCTTGGAAATTATTACACAGAACAATTTCTCTTCAGAAAGCAAGGATTATGATTTCAATACACATGTGGCTCCATACATTGCCCGTGGACAGACAATTAGGATAAAGTACAGCTCTGCGTTTTAGACTATTAGATATCAGCATAAGTTTGTTGGAAAAATGCTTTTTAGAAGTGAACTTGAGTGCTTATTTTTAAGTATTTGAACATTTTGAGAATAATCTGTAGGTTTAAAGTTACTTGACTGTGTACTTAATAATTTTAGTTTGATCTTTGATCTTACAAGAAAATGTAAGAGGAAAAAAACTTACTAATGATGAAATTCCCAAATCAACATTATTTCCTGTTGTGTACTCTTTAACATCAATCTGTAGTGTCTGTAGGTCAGTGAAAACAGACTTAGATAATATTGTATTGCAGATAAAGTGGCTAAAATATCTGGGCAATGTGGTGGCTGAAGGGTCTGAATCCAACTGAAGTCACTTTCAGAATTTCCGTTCAATTTAACAAGGAGCAAGATCTGGGAGTGGATCTTGCAGGCCTTATTCAAGCAAGACTAACATTCACATGAAGTTTTGGGAGCCAGAAGAAATTTAGATTTTGGGCCTTAGAAAAGACATTGAAATCCTGCTTTTGAAAAATGTGTGTGTCCCTTAAAAATGGGTGAAGGAAAGTACTAGGGTTTTTTTTCTAAGGTGCATCTTTCCTTTCAACAGACTCTGTCCTTTATTCCCTCCTAAACAAGATGTTAGAATTCTGCATGCCTGAATAGGCTCAGGAGAGTTTCAGTACAAAAGGAATACAGAATTAAGCCCAGCTTCTGTTCTAAGCAAACTCCAAAAGAACTAAAGCTTGGTGTGAGTCCTGTTGCTGCTATAAATCCAATGTACTGTAACTGGTAAAGAGCAATCAAACACAGTGGGATAACCCTTTGCATCTTCCAAGTGTTTGGCCTGGCAGTGCAGTCCTTCCTCAGGCAAAGCAGGGTCAACCTGTAGCAAGTAGTTAACATTACCAGTTATTTCTGCTGTTAAATGTTTTCCTGAGCATGCTTATTTTATTCAACAGTCAAAATATATTCCCACCACACAAGATTAAACATTTTTGCTGCTTTCTGAGTAGTCAAGATTAGCTTCTTATGATCAGAAGCACTGTTATGCAACCTTTGGCATGTTGTCTCATGACTTCCTTGTCCTGCTTGTGTTGAACCAGGTGAGGAGAAGTCCTTCTGCTTCCATGGATCTTTAGGGCAGCCACTGCATTAAAAGTCGTTGTGTAGTAGTACAATAAAGATATTTATTATTGAGTATCCAGCTTCAGGCATTCTCTCATGGATTTTCTGTGTTTTAAGCCATAAAAACCCTTTCTGCAAGAAAACTAAAAGCCAAGTTCTGCTTTCTATTGTATCCATGCAACTATGCTAAACATAGACTAAAGTTGATGAAGTTGCCTAGATGTAAACAAAGGCAGAGATTAAGATTCAAAATTTTTAGATTTACTAGCATCTATAGTAAGCAGTTTTGTAAGTTTTGATAAATGCCAGTTAACTACATTGCTGAAATAATGCAATATATGCATCTCTGTGTTTTAGTACATTGGAGTTTATGGGCTACATTTTCCTTTGTTCTATGCTTCTGAAGGATGAAGTCAAAGTCTTTCTGGAGTGTATTTATATAAACCAGACCACCTGGAATGTGTGCTTTTAATATCACTGCCTGAGAGCAAAACTGATGATGTTTGATGGGGCTCTGCATCTTGCAGCCCTTACTTTAGTACTACCCTCACAGAGTGTGTCCTGCAGGATTGCATCCATATTGTATATAAAAAATAGTAAGAGAGATAGATTAAACTTAGGGTCAACTGAGACTTAGGCTGACATTGTCAAGTTAATGTGTGTGGTTAGACCTGCAGAAAGTTCAGATGCTTTTGTGGAATGTATGGTATTTTCAGCCAGAGTAACTACTGGAAAGCTCTAAAAGATGGTTTTTCCTGTTAGGTGAAGCTCGGGGGGAGAAATGTAACTCTATTGCAACCCCTAAGAGAAGTCTGAGAGAGCAACCTCTGCACCCAGGCAGTCCTGGTCTGAGAAAGCAAAGCTACAACTCACAGGTTGCGCTTATAAGATCAGCTTAAGTTCCATCACGTAACTATGCAGCGTCACGCCTCTTCATTGCCTGCAGTTTCATTTGGAGTCCAGTAACTGTTTCTTCATTTAAGCCCAGGTAACTGTTTTGGCAGAACTCCTCCTTAGTGCTTACAACTGCTTGTAGTTGCTGCATCACATCTGGATTCAGATTTGTTGAAAGAAAAATCTTACTGGTGTGGCCAATTTTGAGGACTTCAATCTTTACTCATGAACGATCACTGGATTCAAGATCCTGTGAGTCAAGTGCTGAATTATGTGCAGAATTGTGCAGTTCTAGAAAATATGTACAAACATCCATTGACTTGCAGAATAGAGTCTATGGGCAAAAATTATCTGCTAATTTCTAAGTTGTTGACCCTTTCCTGTCAATTAATTAGAAAGTTTCATGGGAACTGGAAGCAGGTGATACCCTGATTTAACCCAGTCATGTGGCTGTTCAAACCACAGTTTTGAAAGACTTCAAGTGCACAGCCAAGATACAAAACCAGTAGGTAAGTTATCACAAAAGCAGAAGTCAGAACAGAATCATGCCTGATATTAAGCAGACTGAAAAAAAAACCACTAATTTTTGCTCTTTGAGTAGAATAATTGTAGGAAAACTTGTTCTCTCTCTTACTTGAAGTTAAAAAATGCTGAGGTAAGGTATGGAAAAGAAAACTGAAAAAAGATACTCTTTGAACAAGTTACCAGGTGTATGATGTACTACTCCTTTTGCAGTATATTTGTTGTTCAACAAGGCACTTAGAGCTAATTAAATGTCTGACATTTTGCAGCTCTTAAGATTATTTTATGGTATGAACACATAAGTGTAGGATCAGTAAAATAATACAAGCAAGCTTTAAAAATCAGATCACTATTTAGGTCCTTTTTTGGTTAGTCATGGGACCACCTCCTCAGCTGCTCCAAACTGTTGCATTCCACTGAGTTCATGTGTGTGACAGCAGTCTGCAGGAGCAGAGTGTTGAGCCCCCAGGTCTTTTTGTTTTATACAGATACTAACACCATGGATTTGAACAGGCTGGGTTTTTTTAAAATTCCAAATGTTTTACTTTGGTTCTTCTTCTGAAAAGTGTGCTCTTGCAATTTTGATTTTCTGAAGTTTACATTCAGTTTTTGATTTCAGATTGCACATTTGGATGAAATAAACTGCTTTCTAAGTTTACATTTGTATAAGAAGTAAAAGAATGACTCTGCCAATGTGTTAAACGTGGGAGAAATGTCTTACTGTAACACAGGAACTCTTCAGACATAAGGCAGTACCATTAAATTTAACCTGATCACTGATGCATAGTATCAGCTTTCTCTGTGTAATTAAAGTATGGGCATTGGATATATAGGGAGCACACCATGGGGGAAAAAAATTTCATCATGAATTCAATTATTGCCAAATAAACTAAGGCTCACTCTTGTTCATATGCCTTCCTGTGTGTTTAGAGCTTCAATGACAAAAATTAGCTGTGACATATGTCCTTTACGAGCTAAATTTACAGCCTGGTTTAAAATTCCAAACAAAGTACTTGTGAATAAACACTGCACTGTTACACTGTAGAAGATTTTACAAAAAATAAATTAAATGTTTTGCTTTCTAGGCAAAAATATGGTTCTGAGCCTGCAAATACAATTTCATGCAAGTTATTTTAACTTTTGCAAATAAGACCATTAAAGGCAATGGGACTATTTGCATAAACTAAAAACACTGGTGTATTAAAGAAATTGTAGATTTACATTTTAAGTTTGCTGTAAGATGCCAATCTAATTCTAGAGCTGTCAGTTCTTGAAGAGTTTTGCAAGATGTGTGAGCATATTTTAAGGTGGAGAGTACATTGCTATTTGCATTGCCACTATTTCTCATAGATAAAGGGTTCTGAAGCATAAGAAAGCTTACTCAGAACTTTTTTGTTGCTTTCCAGATGTTTGTCTTTTACATGACGGAATCTGACAAAAAACATAGCAAGTTTTCTGGGCAGTCAGGAACTTGTAGTAACAATAAAACCAGCAAACAGTACTGTCTTCAGA